ATTGCATGGAAATATGACTTGTATGGTTATTTTTTGTATTTGAGATTCAATGTTGTGGGGCATCAATTTCAAAATAATTATTAACTTGCAGAATATTTAACGGTAACCAAAGATTTAAAACACACTTGTTAGATTTGAATAACAGTTTAGAACACCTGAAATAACCCTGAGATTTTTTTTTTTCTTCTCTCACTTCCATAATTTTATATCTAAAAAATGTGCATGCTTCTTTATAATGGAAGGAAAGTAATTGCGAGTCCAACCCAATTACAACCTAGATCCAGTCAGCCACCACAACCTGTGTTTTAAGTGCTCTGGCAAAGGCCAACAAATCTCTGCCGCTTGAAATTTAGAGTGATGGGACATTAGCCGTGTTTTCTATTTGACGGTAAATTGCCGGGGAGTCAACGAGCTTTGCCTTGACACAAATGCTTGGTGGACGCTTGTTGGCTTTTGCTAGAATGTTGACACGAGGGCCAGTGGCAGACATTCAATTGGCTTATAAACTTACACCTTGTTTTATTGTAGCCTAAATTGCTCTAAACAGCTTGTAATTAATCTAACTCCTCATAACCCAACTGATAAGTCAACACATAAGTGAATTAAATGCTAAAACCTGGAGTATCTTACAAAGTGTTATTATTTCATCATAATTACACGACTTCTGTTCTGTCCAAATACTCTTAAAAGTTCCTTTTATCTCTGATGTACACCCTAGATCTTAACCTTTTGGACATGGGTGATATGACTGTCATATCATGAAAAGATTTGGGTAATTTTTATAGTATGGATGGACTTGTTATATACGAAGTCCCCAACATCACAAAATTTATTTATCAATCTAAGTTGCTATGACCCTTCGGACACAACCCGAGGGAAGGGTTGATTGGGGCCTCTGCCCCCCAACATCCCCCTAGAAACATTGTATTCATCTCAGTATGCACGTTGAGATAGATCTGAAACTCGGGAGCTACGAATGTACTTAGGGTAAGAGTGGCACTTTCTGTGGTATTTTTCCTCAATTTGTGCCATTATCATTCGTGTCTGCAGATTATTTCTTGTACCGATGTGTGCAACTTTTTGCCATCTACAAGAGTATCATATTCAATTTGCCCGAACTTAGTGCATCCTTATTGTAAAGTTTATCCAAAACTGGCTTGAAGGCAGAGTGTCATTTACATGTCGTCATGGAAAAATTGGATGGGATGGCAGGAACATGTCATAAAAATTTTATGTGAAGGCCAGGATGATGGGAATGACTCACCATGAGTGCACAAAGCTACCAGAGGATGGTTAGATTCAGTGGGCATCTAGGAAGGGGATCTTGCATTATTTCCATTGGTAAATAGTGTAAAATGTACCATCCATGAGCCATAACTGGAAGAGTGCTGACTCCAGGAGGGACACTATTTCCATGCTCAGGAGTTAATTTTGATAATGACACAAATAACAAAATGTCACTTATTGTCACTGCACAGAGTTATGAATTACTTTGAGAGATCATATGAAGTCTATTCAAGGAAAACAGTCAATTAATGTCTTTATACAGGATATCAAATAACAAGTATAGACATTGGAAAATAACAAAAAAGCAAAAAATGCATATGCAACAAAAGAGATAATAACAAAAGGGAGACAAGGAATCTTGACACTGCACACGAGTCTTCATCTTGGCTGGGCTCACATGCTACTCGTCCAGGAGAGTTGCCTAATGCTTAGATTTTAGGCCACGTGAGGCCAGTGAGGCACCGGGATCCATTGGGTTAAACCAAACTATCATTGAGGAAAGTGTGCCTTTGGTGCCCTAGAAAAGCCAGCAAATTTCTGATGTATAAATGAGTTTATAATGGCAAGACAAAGCTTATCATCCTGTCTTACAATATGGTATTTAATTAGGAATATATTCATTGCAAGAAGTGTAGAAAAAGTTATGAATAACAATGAATATTTAAACAATACAGGTAATGTATTTGACTAATTTCCACTATATTTTCATCAGAAATACATGTATTTCTGACAAAGTTATGATAAACAGTTAGATTGCTTACATTTTGAAAATATTCTTTCTCAGATGGTACCTGTGGAGGCTTGTTGGCCAAAGCACTCTTGTGTACTCTTACTATAAGCCACATGGACTCGTACATTTAAAAATTACATTTAAAAAATTATAAAGTTCACTGTTCATGAACCGTACTCATGTTGACAAATGTAGAAAAGGTGTAAATGGATTTTTTTTTTTTTTTTTTTTTTTTTTTTTTTTGCGATGCCACAGGGAAAGACATTAAAAGGACAATGATAGTGAATGACTTTAGTGCAAGAAACGTATTTGATGTATTCAAGTAAATCTTCATTAGAAATACATATCTTTCATATGAAGATATAAAGAAAATGTAATCAAGCATCCCTTACACTGCGAGGTTGTTCTTTCTCACTTAAAACCTTTTTCAGCATTTGTCACATGGTAAGATACAACATGAGGCATCCACTAAAGATTGCCAGTAATTTTGTTGTGTCTCTTATGTTGCCATGTAGATGTTTTGCCTTAGGTACATCTTGGCCTAATGCAACAAATGGACTTCCAGCTGTATTGCAGTGGTCTCTATCTGCTTTTTTATCGCTGTTTCTTGGCCTCCTTTTACCGTACAATAAATCTCACAACTCCTACTTTCTTTAGCTGTTGAAACTAGTTTTAGACCTTCCAAACATAATGATATTGGTTTCAGTTAGGCAGATGATTAATAAAACATACTGAGAGTAATACTGATAGTAAATTGGAATTTAATAGTTCTATACTAGCAGTAATTCATGATGCTACCAAATATTCTTATTCTCCTTAGAAGGAAGAAAATTTCAGATATGTTTGTTCTTGTAAAGGTATTATATACCTTTATATAGTGTAAGGTTTTCTAGTTTGATATAATATAGTGAAAGTCATATTAAAAAATCCTTATATTTTATAGATACCATATTACTTAATAGAAGAGAAAAAGGTACAGGCATACTTACAGATGTGTGTGGATGGTATGATTTCATTGCATTTTTTGTGTGAATTGCTTCTGGTATTTGGTGTTGGGTTATTGTTATTGTCATTGGAAAGGGGCTTGTTTGATAAAAGTACTAATATTGCTGTTGTGTTGCAGTGTTGCATTTGTAACTGCTCTTTTTGGTGTTGCTAAAACTGTTGCTGTCTCTGCTTCTGTCACACTCCAAGCTGTTATCATTATACATGTGAGTTGAACATTGCAAATTTTTGTGTACTTTTGCAAATGTACACCCACAGATGTCATGTGTACTAATATGCTGTCATTCAGAATATTTCCGCATCACTGATATATCCTGTACTTATATAATCAATTGTGACTTTTCACATACTGCACTCATTCATTAATTTCATTACCATATCTCAACATATCTTGCTTGTGCTTGCCCCATATCAATGGACACTATTTACTAAATGCACTTTCATTTTCTCTGATACTGCACATACTTCAGTTTGAATTCTTAGAACAGGTTAATTCATTTACTTAATTGGTTCACTTTATCTTTAGCAAAATTACACTGTTTTTTACTAGCTCTATTATTGTTGTGTCAATTTTCAACAAGTATGTTCATGAAGCATTATGATAGAATATCATATTGTCAGAATCATTTGTTTTAAATGGTCACCTGTTGTCGTTGTTTGAATTTAGCATAATACTGTTAATTTTTCTAGGCCTCATGCGACTGACCCGGTCTGCAGTGTACACAATGTTGCAAACTCATGCAGAAAAAGACCGCATTGTCACCTCTCTCCCTCCACCTTTCATACGCCAAGTAAGTACAGCATCTGCAACAACATGAAATTCCTGTGAATATGAACTGCAAACTTCTTGGTCATTTCCATTTTCATATAAATGTATTGGTATATTTTTCTATAAAAGTTATGGAAAGGTTCTTTTTTTCCTCTTTATCTACAATAGAATACCATTTAAAACGCATAACCTCCTTTTTGCACATGCAGGCGACTCCTTATAATCAGGATGACTTTGACGAAGCTGTTAAGAATGCAGCCAATGCAAACTGTACACTTCAAGCTGGACTCAAGATATCGAAGATGATTGTGCTTGGAGATGTTGCTACGGGCAAGACTTGTTTGGTTAACAGGTAAGCAGTAGGTTAATTAGTTGATAGGTAAGCAAGAAGGTAATTAGTTAAAGGTGAGCAAGAGGATAAGAAGGAAAGTTCATTAAGGATGGAAAAAAACAGGAATAGTAAGGATGAGGAAGAAGGAAGTATGAGAGGAATGAAGAAGGAAAATAAGGAAGGGGATGAGATGAATATAAGATCAGGGAATTAGGAGAGAAAGGAATAATTAGAAAATTAAAAGATAGTATGAGAGAGGAGTACAAATTTATGAATGAAAGGAGGAAGAAGGAAAGAAAATGAGATTAAAGTATATTAGTAAAGAAAGGATAAAAATAAGGAGAACAGAGTAAAGTTGATAAAATTAGGGGAAAAGAGAAGAAAGAGATAGGAAGTATGAGAACATGTGAGAATGAAAATAGGAATGAAAGTAAAAGGAGTATGAAATTTGAAGAAAAAATGCGACCATAACCTCCAGGGCGGAGGTAATGATGAATTAAAAGTAACTAAATCTAGAATTGTGGCAGCGTGAGAGAACTCTTCAGTAACAAGACTGAAGTTGTTTCCATTCCAAATATTGATGATGGAATCTGTGTCTATCTGCAAAAGTGAACTAAATTGAGTTGATATGTTAGGAGTATTTTTTTTCATCACCCTCGGAATATAAAGTGAGAGGAAGAGAATAAGAATTATGGAAGGGAATGGATTGTGAGGAATATTAGGGAAGGAGAGAAGAAGAAAATGAGAAGAGTGAAGAGAGAGAGTGTGGCAGTGTGAAAAATTTAGCAATATTTAACAGAGACAGACAGACAGACAGACAAAGATAGGGAAATGAGGAGGATAGTAACAAAGAGAGATAATAAGAGAGTGGGAGAGGAAGAGAGGAAGAGAAATAGGATATATGAGACAGTTCTAAATAGAAAGGGAAGGCAATAAAGTAGAAATGAGGAAGTTAAAATAGAAATAGTGGAAGTAGTATTTTTTGTTAATGAGGGTCGTTTTTTAAAAGGGTGATTTTTACTTTTTGGTTTTTCAGGTTTTGCTAATATAAGCGCAGGCTGGTCGAGATGAGCCCAATTTTGGGAATTCCCTTTAATTTACAGATGTAAGTAAACTGATTTGTTTAACTGAAATAAATCTTTATATTTATAAAACTGCTTTTAATGAATAACTGTGTTTGAACAAGTGATGATCAAATGCAGAATGAATATCATTGATAGTTCAGTCCATGTAATTCTTTATTTTGTTTATTTTTTATTTACTCATTTTACTTTTTTTCATCAGATGGGATACCGCAGGTCAGGAGAGGTTTAAATGCATAGCTGCATCCTATTACAGAGGTGCTCATGGTAGGTATGAATTTTGTGTCTCTTGCATTTATTCTTCAGTCTTTCTGCTTCTTAGGTTTTTTTTTTTTTTTATTTTTTTTTTCTTTTATTTTTTTTTTCTTTTACTTTTTTAATTTTCTATATTTCATTATTTTTTTCCTATGTAATCATTATTATTGATATTTTCTTTAACTGAATTACTGATTTCTGTAGTTGTTAACATGTATTAACATATGCTGTTATTTTTAAGTATAATGATAAGAATAGGTAGACTCTTGGTGTTATGATCATCATTATCATTGGTATTGATATGAATAATATGGTGCCTATTATTATTATTGATATTATTTGTAGTAGTTGTAGTAGTCATAATTGTAATGATATTATATGTAAACAACCTGAAGTATATAAGATTTTCAGACTGTACCGGAGTAAAAAGACTTACCCCTGAATTTGATTTTTCATTTTAGCTGTGATGGTTGTGTTTGATGTGACAAACGTTGTGACTCTGGCACACACGGCTCAGTGGCTTGAGGAGGCACGAGAGGCAAATATCAATAGCTGTCCTTTGGTCTTTCTTGTGGGAACAAAACGAGATCTTATGGTAAGGCGTTCTTCTCTTTCATCCCTGGATTCCATTTCTCATTTTCTTTCTTATTCTTATTTTGTCAGTCTTTTGCATTTTTCTTGCTTTCTTTAATCCTTTTTCCTTCTTTCTTTTACTGTAGTATGTAACATTAGCAAATTTACAATTTTCAAATGATTCTGATTTTTAAAAAGTTTACTTTAGTATTCCCTGGTTACACCTCTTGTTCCATGTCAGCATTTGCACTTTTTTCAGAGCGAGGGAGCCTACAACCAGATTGAAGCACAGGCTCGCCGTGTAGCCCATGGTCTTGGGGCTGAGTATTGGGCTGTGTCATCTAAGACGGGAGATAATGTGGAAGCCCTGTTCATGCGGCTGGCTGCGCTAACCTTCAACCGTGATGTTTTGCAAGAGGTGAAAGGCTGTGACACTCGCAAATCCTCTGGGACTGTCAGTATGTATCCTATTACTAATCTAAAAACTTCAATCAGATTTACTGTTTTGTGTGTGTGTGTGTGTGTGTGTGTGTGTTTGTGTGTGTGTGTTGCGTTTTGTTTTCAAATTATGGAGGTTTTGAGTATGAAAAAAAAGTATAAATGTGTGTGTGTGTGTGTTGGAGTTTCTGTAAGATCAAAACATGGCTTTTCTTTTAATGGTCTGGATAATCAATGAATATCCTGTATTGAAGAACTGAAGACTCTAGTTATCTATGTGCTTGAAGTTGTGATAGGTTATACTCTATAATTAAAGTAAAATGTGCACACAGTATTATGTGTCAAGCGCTTAATTTTATGTGAATGCATTTATCTATCGCTAATTGGTTCATGATTTCAGAAATTGGTGAACGGCTGGATGATACATATGAGACAGCTAAGAAGTCGAAGTGTGCTTCAGGGCACTGCAACAAGTGATAAGATATGAAATGGTAATTATTCTCACAATGACTATTTTGTCATATGATATGTAGTTTGTGAGATGATTTATTCCAAATGCTAAATTGTCGTTTAGTAAAAAGGTTGCTGATAATTTTACAAAATATATTACTATCTATTATGTAACATATATACAAACACATACACGTATATTTTATGCATTTTGAGGTTGAAGTTATTACTAGTATATCTGAATAACAAGCTTCCTGAAGTATGGTGCTGTCCAATGAATAACACAATGAAAGAAGCACAACGTTTTTTACTTTCATTTTTTGACTACTTCACTTCCCTATGTGTTAATGTAGCTGGCTCTTTGTAAATCACATCAAGTGACGGGTATGGAATCACCGAGCTAGTGCTACCTCATGGGTAATTTATAGGTATACTGGGATGACTTGTTATGGAAGGCTGGCCAGGGTTGTGTCTGAAATTAACAGTTTGTAAGACCGGCTTTTCTTTAGAAGGCTATGTGATTTTTAAGTTTAATTCTCTCTCTCTCTCTCTCTCTCTCTCTCTCTCTCTCTCTCTCTCTCTCTCTCTCTCTCTCTCTCTCTCTCTCTCTCTTCCTCCTCTCTCTCTCTCTCTCTCTCTCTCTCTCTCCTCTCTCCTCTCTCCCTCTCCCTCCTTCTCTCTCCTCTCCCCTCTCCCCTCTCTCTCCTCCCCTTCCTTCTTCCCCTCTCTCCCCTGCCCTCTTCCTCTCCCCCCCTCTCTCCCCTCCCTCTCTCCACCCCCCTCTCTCTCCCCTCCCCTCTCTCCCCTCCCCTCCCCCCCTCCCTCTCTCTCCTTTTCTCCCATTCTCTTTCTCTCCCTCTCTCCCTTTCTCCTTTCTTATTTTTGCAACATCAGGTAGTAGAGCTCATAATGAATATTTCAGGAATATCTTCCATTTGTTTCTCATTTGGAAAAGCTGATTTCAAGTCTCAGTTTTGAACAGTCAGTACCAAATTGATGTCTGTCTGTCATGCTAGTCTGGAAAGCATGGCATCTTTTTCTGATATTATGAGGGTAACGAAGATTTGTAATAGCAAGTGTGGTTCAACAAATATGATAAAATTCCTCCTAGGGCCATCTGTTACCTGTACTAGCCTAGACAGATCCATAAGTCAAATGTAATTTCTGGTAAAGGCTTAGATTTTAAATGCACAATTGATAATAGTTTGAAAGACTAAATTATCAAGATTATAAATAAGCAATAAATTTGAAGTTAACTGATATTAACACATGTTTCAAAAAAGCTCCAACAAAGCGCTAAAGGCGTTTCCCGTGCCGTTTGCAAGCGCATTTGCACCAATTAAAGTGGTCCTAGCTCCAAAAAGTGGTGATCTTACTGAATATGTCGTATGCATTATGTTCAAACAGAGCTTGAGGAAGGAATAATGATTTAGATTTGCAGCTTATTAAGACATTTGATTTGTGGTCTGGTAGTCTGCCTTGGCACAAACTTGATTTTAAAAGAGAGATGTTGTTTTTGCGTGATTATTTGTGCTTATAAATATATATTATTATTATTATTATTATTATTATTTATTATTTTATTATTATTTATTATTATTATTATTATTATATTATTATTTATTATTATTATTATATATTATTATATTATTATTATTATGATATCATTTTTGTCATTATTATTATTATTATTATTATTATTATTATTATTATTATTATCATTATATTTATTATTATGTTATCAATAGAAAATTATTAGTATTGATATTGATATTAGCATTATTATAGGTATTTTTTGTTTTTAACAATGATTTCATATGATAATATGTAAAATCTTATTTTACATTAGTATACAGTTTGCAAATATTTTTCAAAGGATGTGCATTATGACATAGAATCACATTTTTTTTATTTGCTCTAAGGCAAGCTTACCTTTTGTATTTTGTGTTCATTGAACATGTGATAAAGAAGAGAAATATAGACAATTTTAGATTGTAAAACATGTATTTGCAGAAGAGCACAAAAATACTGAATTCCATTTATATTTGCTGAATTTTGTGCTGGTTCTTCTCCCTCATTACTATAAAGATATTTTGATACATTCCACTTTTTACTGGAGGAGTGGAATCACTGAATTAATGTTCAGTGCAGGAACTACTATATATAGTTAAGAATGTGTCACGTGAAGGTCTGAGTTAAGTGCTTTATTTATTTTGGTATTCCTTCCATTTGGATGTTGCTTCCATGAAATTTGTGCATGTGCTTTCATTAGAAAAAAGAACAAAAGAAAAAAAGTTGGTACAGATTCAACCTTGGCACTCTCGGATTCATAGGTTTGACAGCTTTGCAGATTTAAGATATTGATTTGAATCTGAAAGTTGTTAATTGCTTACTCATCACTGTGGAGGGATACCATAATTTTTTGTTTGTGCTTTTGTTATGAGTTGTGTTTGTAATGATAGTCTTGTACAGTACGTGCATTATCTGCCAGTTTACCCTGAGCTGCACAGGTTCAGAAAATCTGTTACTCATGCATTGGGGAATCCTTCTGGACTTGTGAGTTTTAATCTGTAATGTTTTTGAAATTTTCAATATCTTTGCTACAAAGTATATTGTATATTGAAAAGAACTGGGCTGGAGAGCATGGGTCTCGATATACAGCTCAAAAAGCCTTGTATAGGTTTATATATCATAAGTAAGTTGAAGGACTTTCTTTTCTGGAAGGAATTGCCAGATAGAAAATAAAATTCTTTTACGACCAGAATATTTCTGTGGGGTTGAATACCACTGTACCTGTGCTATTGCCATTACTTCTTGTATTTTAGAATAATGGAAGGGTTGCCATGGATTTTGCATTTCATTTGAAGATTTATAAACTAATCTTTTCTGTACTTGTTTTTGCATTTAGAGTATTGAAATATTTTCTTGCTCACAGTATTTTTGTAAGACAGACAGATTGTCCTTTTTATTATCAATATCATTGTTATTATTTATCTAGACAGTTTTGAAAAAAGAGTTAATGTAGGACAAATTCATGTACTCGTGAAAGTTTGGTACTGTATTTCTGTCCGTCTCCTACTCTTTGCCTTCCAGTGTTTTGGAGTGACTGCTAGAAATCATGGACAATAAATAGGTGTATAGATATTGATTATATGAGGTGCTACAGTATCCAACATGGATAAAAAAGAGTTATGTTTGGGGAAAGAAAGTACTGAATTTTTTGCTGATATGGATTTGAGAACTGAATGTACAGCATGCTTTATAAGTGTTGTGACAATAATTCATAATTTAAGAATACAGTGTTCTGCTTTGAAATTATATAAACATGTCATCTTCCAGTATTTTTATATACAGATATATTCAATTCCAATATCTATATTTTATTCATTGCTCTGTAATTTTTAAGATATGTATCATGATGTTCACAGGATATTATCCAAATCCATTTTCAATCCATATTTGTCATTGTTTGAGCATCATAAGTACTTGAGAGTATTTATTATAGCCATATGCCCTTCCTGCTACCAATACTTTATATATTTCTGTGCTCAGTAGATGTAATAGAGACCTAAGGCAAGGCCTTACTCTTGGCGAGGTATTATATGGGCAGATAAAGGGGACAGAAACAAGTGCCAACAGGGCACTTGGTTAGATGCCTAAGGGGAAAATGAAGAAAATAGGATACCCAGGGCAGATGTGGATATTTGGTGAGATGTCAAGAGGGCAAATGAAGAGGATAAGGGTCATGGGGTATAGTCTCCAAGAATTTTTATGGTGGCTCTGGTCTTTAAAAATGAGCGAAGCTCCTAGGTGTACCTCTTTATTCCAGCTACAGGTATGTCATTTGAAAAAAAGTTGACACTTCTCTTGGACTTTTTTTTATTAAAGGCTGGCCCACCTCGACCTCTCGCACAAATCTCCACCTCTGAACTAAGATTTCGTACACAGGGATGGCAGTTGTAAATATGGTTCTTGATTTGTGTTAAGATATTGGAATATTGGAAAAGGTTTGTGTATAGATTGATCATAGGCCTTTTTTTGTAGCATCTCAAAACCCCTAACGTTTTGATGCATCATATTGCAGTACCTAATATGATTGTATGATTTTCAACTACAAGCAAAACAGAGTCGCACCTTCAAATTAACAAAGGTTACATCATAGAGGTACAGAATGATTTTGAAACCAATATCACATCATATGACTCGGTCATATTGGAAATTCTTATCATATTTCAGTGAACATCACGGTAGAGGCTTACAAAATAAAAATGTTTCAGGAGTTTCCAGTGATTTTTGTCTAGGGAAACATGTTTGAGGCTGTATTCAAGTGTATCAAAGTGTTAGGGGTTTTGGAGTTGCTACAAAAAGGCCTCAACTTTACTGCATCTTATTGTGTTGTTTTGGGGTGGTCATTGTTTGATCTTTGTAAACAAATGGTATGATTTATATGAATAATGTTGTCTGTTCATAGCCTTTGTTGCATACCATCAAGATACAAACATTTTGATGAAATTGTGCTATGACTCTTTATGTGTGCAACTTGTACCTTTTTCGCTTTCTATTTTTCTCTCCTCCATCCTATGCTCTCTCCCACTATTTCACTTTTTTTTTTTATTTTTTTTTTTAATCTGATATTTATACTGAAGAGGAAGTGGACATTTTACTAAGCGTATTTTCACAATTTAAGTATTGCATATGGAATAGATTCTAGTCATCTAGATATTTTTATTAGCTTAGGTATTCTCTTGAGCACTGTGATAATTTTCATGCTATGAAGATAGATAAATTTAGATGCACCATTAGATTTTTTATAATTGTGCATATATAAAATTGCTAAAAAATGGGAAAAAATGCTGTATAACATTATTTTTTTGCCAAGTTATAGGCTACTTATACACAAATTATTGCTTAGATTTTGTCAATTGTAGACTGTATGACATATCTTTAAAAAAAAATCTCTTGCATTATAGATAGACCAGATTTATGAAAAGCAAGCGCCTTGTCTCTGTAGTACTGCGATGGAGACAGATTACTTTTAAGACCAAGTTTTTCCCCCTCCTGCATTGGTTTATATTAGTGGCATTTATGGTGTTTTATCATTGGTGATCAGAGTCGAAGGAATATTTAGTCACTTTTATTATCATTAATATATGTACATACATATATATATACACACACACACACACAACACATATATATAATATATATATATATATATATATATATATATATATATATATATATATATATATATATATATATATATATATATATATATATAGTATATATATATATATATATATATATATATATATATATATATATATATATATATATTATATATATATAATATATATATATATATATATATATATATATATATATATATATATATAATATATATATATATATATATATATATATATATATTATATATATATATATATATATATATATATATATATATATATATATATATATATATATATTATATATATATATAATATATATATATATATATATATATATATATATATATATATATATATATATATATATATATAATATATATATATATAT